TTTTTCCACATTGTGTTTTAAAACGTTTGACTGCACTTTTTTAAAAAGTTCCTGGAACACCGGATTTTAACCGATGTATACCTTATGCCAAAAAAGGTGTGTCATTTATTTTGATATCTTGTTGCGTTTTGAAGTTAAATCAAATTTTGTATAAAAATAGCTAAAAATTACGTTTTTCAACTTTGTAAGTGGATATTTCAACAACAAACGCGTTAATCCAAAAAATGAGACTTCTTTTTAGAGATCAAACTGTGCTCTAAATGAAGGCAGTAACAGTTTAYTGTACCATGATAACCATAGGTGATGATGGGTAATTACCAGAGGAAGAACACTGATTGATAACCCGCTGCATTCCTCACGTTACTATCAGTATTATACAAGTGTTTGCTTCTAGCAAGACTGCAGTTCAGTCGGTTCTTCCTCGTTCTTTATTAGCACAAAGTAATCCGGTGTTCCAGGAACTTCTTAAAAATGACTGGTCAAAAATCATAAAATATCCACTTTTATCCAAACAAATCGCATAATTACAATCTCCATTTATTCAGCTTTAAGAATAGTTTAATAGTTAGCGTTCTACGAAAAGTTAATTGACCATTGGTCGCGAAGGTCCCCTGATATCTCAAGGTTGTACAAGAAAACTAGACAAGTTCAAAGAATTTTGTCAAGTCATACTAGACTAAAGACCAAAATCGTTTTCAAAATAAGACCCCAAAACGGCGCCTTCAGCTCTAATAGTTTAACCAGACCAAACATATGTATACACTATATGTCTCTCTGACATGGCAAACTGCAGAAGTCTTTGATAAATGCACTTTTAAAATAACATCTATCCAGACAAAGTCATGGCAAACTTTTACCTATCGATATGCTTTTCTCGTAAAGTCCTTGCCTACGTGTATAATGTATGATCGATGTATTCAAAAACAGACTTGCGAATTTTTCCGCAGTTGTAGTCACACACAAAGGAATATAATCAACATGAAGTGCCGTGCATAAAGCTCTCTCAATCGTGTAAAGTCAATAGTTTTTTACGCCATTGATTGAACTTTATGCATGCCTGATTCTGTTGTAATTAACTACTGACGAAATTCGCAAATTGGCGATTGACTATATACTACTATAAAAAGTTTGCATAATTCAATATAATCATTCCAAACTAAAAGCATTACACTTGGACATATTTTTGTCTGTTTTCGTTGCCGTATTTCGTACTTGAGAGAATACTCTCAACTCATTGACTATCTAGTCACTATAACAACTTTGCATCACATTTCCAATAAATGTAACATTATACTACAACACATTTTGTCTGCTTTCCTTGATTTCTTTTGTAGCTGAGAGAAGAATCAAGAATACTCAGATTCTTCTCAGTTCGAGAAATATCTGGATGATCGTCATCATAGAAGCACCTGTAGATGATCAGAGCTTGCTGGTAACTGCTTCTTGCCGCACCAATTCGACCTAGGTTCCGATATGTATTTCCTAAGTTGTTCATGGTATTACCCACAGATGGATGGTTTTCACCGTACACAGCTGTTTTGATTGCAAGGGCTTTCTCGTAATATGTTATTGATTCCTCCAGTCGACCTAG